TTTTTCAACGTCTCAATGTCCAGCAGGCTCCCCGACAGTAGCGGTCGTAAAGGTCGAGTTGGCATCTCTTGGCTGCTTACTATTCGAGATCGGATTCACAAGTAAGCGTGTACTCTAACTGATGCCCCCTCCGTTTTGCCCGGCTCGATGGAGTCAGTCCCTGGGCCCGCTTGCTGATATTTCTCTTGTCCATTCTTCTCTTCGACCGACGGTTTTCTATCTGGATGACCCAACTGTCTGGAGATCTGGAGAGCTCTCCTCTTCCCCCGATACTCGCTCGTCCTTCCTCTCCAGCCCGAGCCTGCCTCCTCCGACTCGCGTCTTGAGACCCTATCAGAAAATCAGGCAGGTAGCAGCAGCAGCAGTCCACCCAGGGCAGGGAATAGACCTGCCTCGCATCCCCATCTTGGTAGGACACAACCCACATGGGCCTAGCACTATCTGAAGTTGTTGTCGGGTCTCAGGTGTTCTATTGGAACCCGAAGCATACGCGAACGGCAGTGTAGTACCACTTAGTGAGTCACTAGAGAGCTCACAGCGTGTTCTGTCTAAAGAAATAAAGATACTCAATCAGCAGGCAGGCCACAGCTTGGCTTGAGTGAATCGAGTGTTGCCTGTTGATAGGTCGGAGAGGAAACCTACAGTAGCTATAGACTGTTGGTTCAGACGTGTACACCATCAACGGGGATATTGAGTACTGTAAAAGTAAATGATCAAGTAGCGACGAGTTATCATAAGCAGAGCTCTCAGGTCGGTAGATACCAAGACCACACTGAAGCCGTAGTTCAAGCAGTGTCGAAAATTGATAAGGACTACCGCACGGTAGGTCTACGAATTGCAGAAGGCAAATGCCTCGCTCTCTTAGTTGGCGAGTTGCGGCCTCCGACCAGAGAAGATGCGACGGATCACAGAGCTCGCGATCACTAGGGAGTTGATGGACTCGGTGACCGAGCTCTTGAGACTTGATGAGATGGTGACCTCCTGGTGTTATATATGTAGTCAGTCACCTCATCTCCCCTAGATTGCTTCATTAACAGAGAGTGCGTCTACCTTGCCGAAGGCTATGGAAGCTTACGAGGGCGCCAGGACTGCAGTAGAAGTAAGAAATATGTTGTGGTAAGTAGTTGTTCTATAACCATTCTACAGGCGGTACCAGCGCTTCGCAGTTCACCAGCAATTGTAGCGGTGCTGGCCAGGGCGTCTGACATACTCGTAAAAGCTCGAAAGAGAATGTAGGATAAGCGGTTCAGACCGGCTCGTTTCGCGACGATCAGTTTTACTATCATGCTCAGAGGCGCTGAGGAGCATTCGAGTCAACAGGGGTCGGCGGCAGTGGACCTCTCCGTTTCAGTATCAGATCAGGAACATTCTCCGAGTGGTGATGAGTAGTTTCTATAGTGACCCCTATTTAGTTGTGACAGGTACGTAACATGTCACAGATAGATAGATATCAGATAGATGTCTCTGAACCTCTGCTGAGTGAGCTAGAGAGGTCATCGGGTAGCGACATGACCGAGAGCTAGGCTTATGTCGCGCAACCTTCCGAACCTCTAGCGAGTCTAGGCGACTCCTATACTGTCGGCAAACTTCAAAGAAGAGCGAATCGTACTGAGTTGTGTTGCGTGAGTGATGAGGGTGACGAGCCTCCATTCATGTGATGACATGGGAGTGTATCTCTTAGGACTTAGTCTTTACCCCCTGGACGAGAGGGTGTGCTCCGCTGAGTTCTCCTTCAGCAATTACTCATAACACCGTAGCTCTAATCATCGAACTACGATACCGACGACTTCACTCCCAATGAATGTTTCGTAAATGTATAAATCTGATCTATCGAGAACCTATGACCTCTTCGGGAATTCTCACGTCGTCTCAAAGCTGATCGCTCTAAATCGTCCCGCAACTACGCTAAGACAAGCTCTGGAACGGGCGATGTCAATGCTTATCGAAATCGTGCCGGAGATCTGGGCAGCT